AATTATTTGAACCCATTGGTCAGTGGGATACCTCGTAAATAGATATTCTCATTGAAGATATCTCCAATTACGATAATATATATGGTAGACTATTACCGTATTAAATAGAGGTATAATAGCTTAATTGTGTAGTTATATTTGAGGTTATTTATCAGCAATAAGGTTAAAACTGATATCTTACCATGATTGTATATAATATATTTCTTAGGATAACATTAAAACAATTCATTAATGGTATTTATCTTAATATACAATTTCACTGAATAAGTTTGGACTTTCTCAATTCCAATAAAAATTTAATGAGTTCCCTATTCATAATTTGGACTTCACTGTGTATCACGACTCAAGTCCAACTCATAATTTTGAACACAGTAAATGGAAACATGAGATCATAGTATTCAGAAATAAAAAACAAAACCCATTTTCAGAATTGTGACTATGTATTTCAAAATTGTGTAAGCCAAGTCTTATGGACTTGGCTTACACAGAAAAAACAAGGGAAAGTTCCTGAAATGGGACCAAAAACGTTTGTAAATTCCAAAATAGGATTGTCATGTTTTTATTCCTAAAATAGGAGTAATTACTGTCAAATTTGGAAAATACTGCCATGTTTAAAGTTTGGTACTGCCAAAACATGACAGTAATTAGTCCCATTTTGGGAATTAAAAACATGGCAGTCCCATTTTACAAACGTTTTTAGTCCTATTTAGGATGTTTTCTTTTGGACTGAAATTTGCTGGTCTGGTCTGGTCTGGTCTGTTTAAGTCTGGTCTGGTCTGGTCTGGTCTGGTCTGTTTAAGTCTGGTTTGGTCTGGTCTGGTCTGAACTGGTCTGGTCTGGTAAACGTCTGGTCTCTGTGTATTTTATAACTACGGAAGTCTGGTCTGGTCTGGTCTGGTCTGTTTAAATCTGGTCTGGTCTGGTCTGGTCTGTTTAAGTCTGGTCTGGTCTGGTCTGGTCTGTTTAAGTCTGGTCTGGTCTGGGACTGAAAACAGTCCAAAAGAAAACATCCTTATGGTAAATTCTTAAAAAACAAATATGGTATAGAAATACATATTTGAGATCAAATATTCGAAATGGCTTAAAATACAAGAATTGTAAACATATGGACTTGAATATAACACAAATCGAGTTGATCATAGGGTATTTACATACACTATGATAATTTCATTTCATATGATGAAATGAAATTGGCTGACATACAATGAAAGACACAATTTATATTTACTATTGAATACAGGCTTTTGTATTTTCCATGTCTCATTATTGCAAGTACATGAACGATGGGATTGGCTTATTAGATACTGGATTTGATTTACAATTTGGTGAGTAGTATATAAATCAAGACCTTGTGAATATTTAATTTACAGTGTCGGTGACACTCATTCTACGATGTTGACAATACGTGAAATCGGTGAATACCTAGCCTTTCTATAAACACTTGTATTTCCGTAGTGAATACGTAAACCAAACCCAATTTTGGGTACACTTCGCCAATGTACAACAGTATGCCGATCTAGTACCATGGATAATTATGTGAATGGACTCGAGTAATTATAACACTAAATGATTACTGGAATGTCTTCTCTGATGTTACACAAAGTGTGTAAATCACTTTGTATCATCCCCAAAGTGATCGTAAAAACAGGTATACAACTAGTTGTCATGAGTAGATCAACTAATACGAAATTATGGGACTTGTATGATGTTCATATGTTTTCCTAATGACTAGTCATTACAAAAATTCTGGTAGTCTACAATTCGATAATTTATGTATTAAGAGAAATGAACGAGTATTATGGACAGTCCAGAATATACCCCATTAGGAGTATATAATTAAGTAATAGAGTAGTTTTTATATTTAATTATAATTGTGGACTCCTTATGTAATTATGACATTTATATTCTCTATATATATCTGTCAGGGCTACCAATATGGTTAAGCCTGGTAATTACTTTCACATGGTATCAAGAGCCATAACATTCCTACCCTAATTTTTTTCGGCCGATGTCTTCAATCGATCCCCTTACTTCCGCCGTACCAGTCTCCTCTACCAGCATGTCTGCGCCAGTTCCCTCTGAAGCTGCGACCATCGAGCCTCTTTCTACAGAAGTAGAATCATTCCCTTCTCCATCTCAGTTTTCTGGACCGGTTATTTCCCAAATTGCTCCGCTGCAGCCATCTTCTTCTTTCTCAGTCTCGGATGGTCTGCCATGGGTCCCGCCGGTGTTTAATTGGTCTCCTACCAGGCCAACGATCTTCCATCCTCCTGGCTCGTCCCTTGAAGCTCGTCCAGCAGCTTTCCCGTTTTTCTCCAGCGGCCGAGTCCCCTCTGTTGAGCCCTCTGGCTCCAGCTTTGCTGGACCAACCATGGCTGGTGCTCCAGGTGTAGCTCCTTTGATTCCTGCTGTTTCTCTAGGACCAATTGGGACACGGGCTGCTGCAGTACCATCATCAGGTTTTAATCTCTCTGACCTTGTTAAAAACATTGGTTTTTCGGCACTTAATATCACCAATATTGTTACTACGAAGCTTGCTGCTGTTGAGGATTATTTGACTTGGCGTACTCAATTTGAGTCGTTTTTGGTGTCTAATGGATTCTTGGGAATTTTAGATGGATCCATTCCTGCTCCCTCCCCATATATTTTTGATATGTATCAACAAGAGACAATTAATCCTGATTATTATAATTGGCTTAAACTGGATCAAACTGTGCGTTCTTGGTTATTTGCTACATTGTCTCGTGATGTCCTAATTGAAGTGCGTGAACTTAAGAATGCTTTTGCTATTTGGAACCGCTTGGAATCCCACTTTATGTCTGCTAGTCTGGCTCAGTCCATGGAACTGAAACGTCAACTTTCTCATTCTAAGAAACGTTCTAATCAGCCCATGGAACACTATCTTCGCGACATTAAAGATATTGCTGATCGTCTTGCTGCTATTAATGCCCCGGTGTCTCGTCGGGAGTTGTTCCAATATATTTTACTTGGCCTTGGTCGGGATTATGAGTCTCTCATCACTTCTGTGGACTTATTTCCGGATAGCTTTACGTTTGAGAATCTTCGTATTAAGTTGCTCGAAAAGGAGCGCACTATTCAATTCATGAATGCACAGGAGGAGTCTCAGCCCGCTCATGCCTTCGCGGGACAAGCCCAGCCGGCTGCCCAGCACCAACAAGGCCACGGCCAGCAGCAGGCTGGCGGCCAGCAGCAGGCTGGTGCACAACAGCAGCAGCATCAAGCCGGTGCTCCACATCGGGGCAGGGGCTATCGCGGCGGTCGGGGTGGCCGCGGACAGCGAGGTCGCGGTGGGCGTGGTCAGCGTGGTCGTGGTTATCCCCATCCGTTTGGTTATGCTTATCCTCCACCGGGCTACTTTCCAGGGGGTGCACCACATGCAGGCATTCTTGGGGCTCCAGGTTCAGCTGGTATGTCTGTTCAGTCAAATTTTTATACTTATGCCTTATCTACTTTCTCTACTAACCGTGGTTATGCAGGCTCTTCCTCAGTTGAGGGAAATTCAGTCCCTCCTCCGGTTGTTTGTCAGATTTGTTATGCTCCAGGTCATCCCGCTTCCACTTGTCCTTCTCGTTTCATTCAGCCGGCTGTTCCTGCTCTTGCTGCTCAGGCTCCTGATGCTTCTGATTTGGTTTGGTATCCTGACTCAGGTGCCTCCGCGCATATGACTCCTCACTCAGGTATTCTGTCAAATAAATCGTTTTCCCCTAATTCGCATTCTATAATAGTAGCCAATGGAACGACTCTCCCGGTTATGCAAACGGGACAGATCTCATTACCTTCTTCACCACGGCCTCTTCACTTGAAATCTGTTTTGCATGTTCCTCACATTAAATATAATCTTTTATCCATTCAAAAATTGTGTGCTGATAACAACTGTGCTGTGATTTTTGATAAAAATAATTTTTTTGTTAAAGATTTAACAACGGGGGTGGTCCTTCTTCGAGCACTCAGTGATAACGGCGTTTATCCCATTCGTCAGCTTGCATCTCAGCCTGTTGCCCTCTCTGCTGCGTCCCTTTCCATTTGGCACAATAGATTAGGCCATTGTGGCTCTCGTGTTTTAGATCAGCTTAGATTAAATAATTTTATTTCTGGCACTTCTGCTAATATTTCTGATTGTATTCCATGTCGACTGGGCAAATCGCAACGGTTACCATTTAATAGAGTTTTTCATAATAGTCCATATGCTTTATATTTAATTCATTCTGATGTTTGGCAGTCGCCTGTTCTTTCGCATTCCGGGTTTAAATATTATGTTTGTTTTGTGGATGATTTTTCTCGTTTTACTTGGGTCTATCCTATGCGGCGCAAGTCTGAGGTTACTACTCATTTTCATCATTTTAAACTAATGATTGAAAACTTACTTGACCGCAAAATCAAGATTTTTCAGAGTGATGGAGGGGGTGAATTTGATAATTTTAGCATGCATAAACTTTTCACTGATAATGGAATAATTTTTCAAAAATCTTGTCCTGAGACTCCACAACAGAATGGTGTTGCTGAGCGTAAGCATCGACATTTACTTGAATTAGCTCGCACTATGCTCATCACTGCTGGTTTGCCAGCTAATTTTTGGGTAGATGCCGTTCTTACCGCTGCTTTTATCATTAATAGAATTCCCTCTCCGACTCTACATTGTTTGTCTCCATTTGAAAAACTTTTTAATCTCAAACCCGATTTATCCTTTTTGCGTGTTTTTGGGTGTGCTTGTTTTCCCAATTTTACTGCTTCTTCTGCAAATAAGTTGCATCCACGTTCTGTTTCTTGTATATTCTTAGGCTATGCGTCTGAATATAAAGGGTACCGTTGTTTTGATCCTATTTCTAATCGTGTTTATATTAGCAGAAATGTCAGATTTTTAGAACATATTTTTCCTTATTCTGATCTGGTACGTACCACTGTGTCCTCTTCTACGCAGCAGCCTCATGCTTCTCTTATTTATTGCCCCACTCGAGATCAGCACCCACCTTACCATACTCCTCCCTCACCCAGTATACTTCAACCTTCTCCAATAGTGCCTGCTTTAATTCCTTCACCTCCCCACTTAGCCGACTCACCCAGTACACCTGCTACATCTTCTACTCCTAATCCATCCAATGTCCTCCCATCACCATTTTCTGCCACTTCGAACCACATCACAGCAACCACCTCTGGCCAGACTTCGACCGAGCTTCCTGCAGACCCAGACCATGACCGAACCTTGCACCAGCATCTTACTTCAACAACTGTGACCACTGCCGCTTCTGCTGAGAATTCTTCCCCAGTTGTTAACCTTCATCCTATGCAAACTCGGTCCAAATCTGGAATTTTTAAACCCAAAACTATTTTTAATTTAAGCACAGTTGTTAACACACCTGACCCTACATGTTTTTCTTCAGCAAATAAACATCTTAAATGGAGAGCTGCTATGGCTGAAGAATTTAATGCTCTTATCTCTAATCATACATGGGATTTAGTTCCGTTTGATGCTACTAAGAATGTGGTTGGGTCTAAATGGATTTATAAGACTAAGTACTTGGCTGATGGGTCTGTTGATCGCTATAAAGCTCGATTGGTTGCACAGGGGTTCAATCAGCAGGCAGGTATTGATTTTACTGAGACTTTTAGCCCTGTTGTTAAACCCACTACTGTTCGCCTGGTTCTTACTTTGGCAGTGTCGTTTGGTTGGCCTATCCGACAACTGGATGTCAAAAATGCTTTTCTTCATGGTCATCTTACAGAGGAGGTATACATGCGTCAGCCACCGGGTTTTGTTCATCCCCAGTTTCCTCATCATTTGTGTCGGCTTCGTAAAGCTATTTATGGTCTTAAACAGGCACCTCGTGCCTGGTTTCATCGTTTCAGTAGCTTTCTTCTTTCTCATGGTTTTGTCTGCAGTCGGTCTGATAATTCTCTATTTATTTTTCGGCGTCATTCTGATGTTATCTATCTCTTGCTGTATGTAGATGATATAATTATTACGGGTAATTCCCCCAAATTAGTTACTCATTTTTTATCACTCCTTGCTAAATGCTTTGCCATGAAGGATTTGGGGGATTTGCATTTTTTCTTGGGTATTCATGCAACTCGGACTTCGTCTGGTTTATTTCTTTCTCAGCATAAGTATATATCTGATCTTCTTCTTCGTTTTCATTTTCATACATTAAAACCTGTCCGTTCCCCTCTTCCGAGTCGCACGAAACTCTCTCTCACTGATGGGGAGCTCCTTGCAGATGCTACGGAGTACAGAAGTATGGTAGGTGCATTACAGTATTTAACTTTGACTAGGCCAGATATTACTTTTGCTGTACACTTGGTGTCTCAATTTATGCATGCCCCCCGTACTTCACATATGTTGGCTGTTAAGCGTATTTTCAGGTATCTACAGGGCACTTCCACGCATGGACTTCTACTTCAGGCTTCTCGTGAACGTCCGGCTATTATTGCATATTCCGATGCTGACTGGGCTGGATGCCCGGATACCGGTCGATCTACATCTGGCTATGCTATCTTTCTAGGGCCGAATCTCATCTTCTGGCGTTCTAAGAAGCAACCTACTGTGTCCCGTTCCTCCACTGAAGCTGAATACCGCGCTGTTGCACTCACTGTTCAGGATACTCTTCATATTCGGTCAGTTTTATTTGAATTGGGCTTTCCAGTTCGCGACTCTACTACGTTGTACTGTGATAATATTTCAGCATCATATCTCTCAGTTAATCCGGTTCATCATGCCCGTAGTAAGCATATCAATATTGACTATCATTTTGTTCGTGAACGGGTGGCTCATGGTGATTTGCGTGTGAAGTTTGTTCCTACTCACGCCCAACTGGCAGATATTTTTACTAAATGTTTATCTCCACAACGGTTTATTCTTCTTCGTGACAATCTGCGCATTGTTTCCCCTGCACAGATTGAGGGGGTGTAATAGAGTAGTTTTTATATTTAATTATAATTGTGGACTCCTTATGTAATTATGACATTTATATTCTCTATATATATCTGCCAGGGCTACCAATATGGTTAAGCCTGGTAATTACTTTCACATTAAGTACAATTTCATAGTCCAATTGCAAACTGGTTGTATCATCATTAGTTATCAATGGCATATATTATGTGATTGATTATTACCCTTATGTGTTATATAACACATAAATTAAGATCGTGAACTTAACACGAACATTATATTATATCATGGTGACCGTACAACGATAATAGTATGCTTAATATTTCGACTAGGGAGAATAAATTATGGGCTTAATGGATATATCTGCGGTATTTAGTACATGAAATTGATATTATACCAAATTAATATAATATACGATCAACACCCATTAGTGGGGATTGTATATGAACCGACTATTACAAATTGTAGTGCCATAATTATTATACCCGTACGATATGAGTAATAATACTTAATCAACCACTATATTTCACATTGTCGGCTGAGAGACTTATGATCCAATATGGATATCATGTATAATTTCATAAAACATGATTACTTGGGCATAAATAATACTATGTAAAATTAGTAGTTGAGTTAAACGTTATGGTCAACCCTGACTTGTTGGTTATCTGGGTTGAGTGAATGAATTGAACCTTATAAAGATACTTGTTGCATACTCGTAGTTATAAATGTGTAACCAAAAGTGATACTTCAGTACATTAGTAAATCTTCTCGGATACCCATAATGTTATTTAGCCGAAAGGGTGTCAATCTGAAATACACTATCGTATTTCAATGTACCAAGGGTTTATTAAGATCCACTATAATAATACGAGGTATAATAAACCACTATCGTATTTAAATAAACTATCCAGTAATCTACATACTGGATTAATTTTGAAAGGTCAAATGATAACACTACAAGAAAAGGAATTTTTAACTACGAACAATTAATGACGGGTTAGAAATCCCCTCACTAAATGTACTATTTGTGCACTTGTTGTGACAGAAAATACCCTCTCATTAAAAAAGTTTACTTTTAATGAGGAAGTTGGATTTTCATTAAATAATACTCTAATTATTGATCATATAAAAAATTGTACTCTCACTATTAGTTCTATGTTTAGTTTTATACGCAGAATTTTTTAGAGCTTAAATTTTTTTTCCTAAGCTTCTACGGAGTACGGACCAAATCTGAAGCGCCAAAATTTCAGAGCATCCCGCCCACATTTCAGAAAAGTCGCTCCAAATTTTTCATATCACTTTGTCGCTCCAATTGTATTCACCTCTTTCGTTTCTTTTCTTTGCCCAGCAGTAAGAGCATATCTTCTTCCACAAGTTCATTTCATAGCCACCATTGTTGTACACGTATCTTCTTCCATCCACGCACCTCAGCATCAATTTCGCCCATTATTGTTGTACTCATCAACATCTTCACAACCCTAAGTGATAAATTTCCAGTTGATTCAAGTGAGAAGAAGTATCCATCAATTCTGAATTTCTTTCCGGAGTTGATTTCACGATCTACAATCTTCTTGGCCTCCCTCTGGTAAGCCTCCATCTGGTAAGTTTCTATTACCCTATTCTTTTTTATTTAGTAAGTCCTATATTATTTTTTTTGGTTTAGTTGTTCGCATATCATCTTAGTAATAATTGATTGTGTTCATTGATTGTAAAAACAATAGAACCCATTTTGTATTTGTAAATGTCCGCACAATTACTACTTTAGTTGAATATTCAAGACAAAATTATTCAGCTATTTTGAATAGGGGTTAAGACTACAATATTACTAAAAAATTCTCGGTGGACAAAAATGAGTACTTATGTTTTAATTTCCAAAAATGAGACTAAAATTTACTAATAGGACCATTACACCCTTAATGAACCCAGGACCACCTAGCTTGCTACAGTGACCCGGTACAGTGACCAAAGTGACCAAAAGTGTTCAGTGACCAAAGTAACCGATAACCGCCACAGTGACTTCCGTCCAGTGACCAATCGATACAGTGACCTCCTCCCAATGACAACCCATCACCGACCACAGTGACCAACACCCAATTACAGTGACCAACACCCCAATTATAGTGACCACCACCCCGGTGAGATCACCCCCTCGGAGCTATATATAGTGAATTATTTTTAGTCAGTGACCAATTATAGTGACTTATTACACCGACGTCCACTGTCGCAAGCCACCGCCTATCCCCACCCCAACTTACCCGATGCCATCCCCACCAGCCGAACCCTAACCTGCCCTGCTCCTCCCTAGACCCAGCCCGCACCCCAGCCTCCCCCAAGCCCTACCCTGCCACTGACCTGCACCTCCCTAGCCCACGTCGCCCTCCCTCAACCCCTGCAACCTGCCAGTGATATGCCATCCGCGGTCACATCTCACCAAAATCATGTCATCACAATCATCGATCGCAAAATTGAAATCTCAAGAGCATCGATTTAGATTCCACATCTTCGTCGACGTTCTCCAGGGTTGGGTGGGCGGTTGTTTGCGGCGACGAAGGTCATGAAAGAAAGGAGAAGAAGAAGAGAGGATGAAGCGGAGACGATGTCGGTGATGAATAGGCAGTGGCGGCGATGAGGCGGAGAAGAGGCGGCGATGAATATGCGGAGGCAGCGAAGAATCGGCAGCGGCGATGAGGTATAGGCGGCAGTGCGAGGTATGGGAGATGGAAGATGCGCAGAGACAAAATGTAATGTGTGATATTTAGGGTTTTGTTAATTATTTATATTAGGGGTATTTAGGTCTGTTTGTAGCTAATAAGTCTCTTTTTTGGCCAAATTAGAAAACCATCCCATTTTTGTCATATACATACCCGAAAGTCTTACTTCTGTCATTCTTTCTTTTGAATAAGCATGAACCCGAGAAGAATATTCAACAAAATCCATATTCAATTTCATTTGAAAGGAGATTTATAGTGATATATGTATTCAGGTTGATTTTATATAATTGTGATATACCAGGTACTATTTTGATAAGAATAGTTCATCTAATTGACGATTCCATCTTCCCATTGTGTAGTTTCCTCTTTTTATTTGTGCCATCTATCTGTTTGTTTAAATGTCCACATGAATTGAAGTAATACTTTGCTCTCAAACCTCTATTTAAACCTGCCCAGTTTTATTTAAACTTTATATGAAGTAGCTGTTCAATGCCATTTTCGAAACTCTGGATTCGTTTTATATCGGATGAAGAACAACTTTAAGAAATATCAGATGTTTAGCCGTGCGACACTTAGGAACATGTGAATAATTAAGAAATATTTCTTAACAATGAATGTTCATCCTTGAATAGATATTTGTTATATTAAGATTTATTTATGAAACGAATTGACATGTAAATAACAATTTACATTAATAATTTAACGTTTCTGAATTATTCACATGTCAATATGGCATGCTGTATGTTTATATAAATGGAGTTTCACATAGGCATTGAAAAATGTTTCTTCACCCGTTACTGTCAATGACTTATTCACCGCACGGTTCGCTGACTGTCATTTCAATGAGATAGTATTCCCAACCTTAGGGGGAGAAACTAATAAATCGGACCCAAGTACGAAAGAAATAACATGGAATGCAACAAGATTGTCACACCTTGATTCTAGATCAAATATATGTGGGCAAGAGGTGCAAAAGATAATCCATTTACAGAATGTTGCAAATCAGTTGCCTGATGCATTCACAGATACAAAGAAAGTGACAAAGTCACATATTCCTGCTATGAATGCCCCTGCCAGAATCGAAATTCCAGCAGAGAACTCTGAAAAATCTCTCGCAAATGATTCTTCTATACGCAAAAAGCGTGGCAGGCTACTTGGATCAAAAGACATAAAACCAAGAAAAACTAAAAAGCAGGAATTGATATGTGATACCACAGATGTCCATCCTTCTGAACAAGAAAATGAACAATTTGAAAATACTGGCATAGAAAATGATATTGACAAAACAAACATCTCAAATAATGATCCAACTTCCTTAAATGAGGAAGATATTCCAGATAATGATAGAAACGTTGATAATTATGAAATTTCAATAAGTTACGTTTCTACTGGAATGCAATGGAATCGAAAAGATATTGATATTAATGAGATATTTGTCTATGCTGTTGCCACAAATGTTATGAATGAAAACAATGACAATGAGTCAACATCAATTGAAGAATGTTGGAAACGACAAGATTGGCCAAAATGGAATGAAGCTATTCAGGCTGAATTAAAATCACTTGAAAAACGTGATGTTTTTGGACCGATAGTCACTACGCCAAAAGGCGTAAAACCTGTGGGTTTTAAATGGGTATTTGTGCGTAAACGCAATGAGAAAAATGAAATTGTTAGATATAAAGCCCGACTTGTTGCCCAAGGTTTTTCTCAAATGCCGGGAATCGATTATGAAGAAACCTATTCTCCAGTAGTTGATGCAACTACATTAAGGTTTCTCATTGGCATGTCTGTTTGTGAAACGCTGCAAATGCGCCTAATGGATGTAGTGACCGCCTATCTATATGGTTCACTTGATACAGACATTTACATGAAAGTTCCCGGTGGATTTAAAATGTCTGAAGCTTATAGCTCGAAACCTCGAGACATATTTTCCATTAAATTACAAAAGTCATTGTATGGACCAAAACAATCTGGACGAATGTGGTATAATCGTCTCAGTGAATACCTTCTCAAAGAAGGATATAAGAATGATCCAATTAGTCCATGTGTTTTCATTCGGCGATCAAATTCGGGATTTGCCATAATTGCAGTATATGTTGATGACTTAAATATTATTGGAACTCCCGATGAAATTGAAAATACTGCAAAATATCTTATGAAAGAATTTGAAATGAAAGATCTTGGGAGAACCAAATTTTGTCTCAGACTTCAAATTGAGCATTTGAAGAATGGAATTTTCATCCACCAATCCAATTACACCGAGAAAGTGTTGAAGAGATTCTATATAGACAAAGCTCATCCTTTGACTTCACCCATGGTCGTTCGATCTCTCAACAACATGATGATCCATTTCGTCCCCGAGAAGACGACGAAGAAATACTCGGTCCCGAAGTACCATATCTGAGTGCTATCGGAGCTTTAATGTATTTAGCTAATAATACTAGACCAGATATTGCATTTTC